AAAAACAACAACAACTTACGTCACAGTAACTGCACTTGTACAGTCTCTTTCTGGTGTGACTCTTCTGGTGCACTTTCAGGGAATTTGGAGCTTTGTAAGCCTTATCACACAGCTCACATTTATAAGGTCTCTCCTCAGTGTGGGTAAGTTTGTGGATTTGTAAGTTGCTGTATGTAACAAAGCGTTTGCCACACAGATCACAGCAGCACACATCCTGCCCGGTGTGAATGCGCAGATGTTTATTTCGGCTCCCCAGATGACTAAACGTTTTCCCACAAACGTCACAGCTGTATAGCTTTATTCCAGAGTGGGTAATTTGATGAATCCATAAATTTTTCCTGCAAGTAAAAGCTCTGCCACACTGATCACAGCTGTATGGTTTAACTCCGCTGTGGATGAGCTTGTGGTTTTCCAAGCCTTCTTTGCGGGTGAAACACTTCCCACACTGATCACAGCTGAATGGTTTAGCTCCGGTGTGGAAGACTTCGTGTCGTTTTAGGCTCTTCATCTCAGTGAAAGACTTTCCACACAAGTCACACCTGAATGGTTTCACTCCACTGTGGATGACTTTGTGATTTTTTAAATGTCCAGCTTGAGTATAAGACTTTTCACACAAGTCACACTTGAATGGTTTGAATCTATTGTGGATGACTTGATGACTTTTTAAATGTCCAGATCGAGTATAAGACCTTCCACACACGTCGCACCTGTATGGTTTAATGCTGTGGATGAATTTATGCATGCTCAAGCTGCTTTTCTGGGTGAAACTCTTCCCACACTGATCACAGCTGTATGGTTTAATGTCACTGTGGAAGACAAGGTGTCTTTTTAGGCTACTCATGTGTGTGAAAGACTTCCCACACTCATCACAGCTGGATTTTCTCTCTCCCTTTCTTCTGTGAGGTTTGTCGGCCTCCTGAGAGCGCTGACTTCCTGCTTCATGTTGGTCCTGCAGTGAAAAGAGATTCAAAATGAGGTAATGAGGGAAACGCAATTATCAACAACAGGGTTGTGGTGGAGAATTAAGGGGTATATTGTGGAAACGCCACTAATCTACTGCAGGGCTAACACATACAAACAGACAACCTTTCATGCTGACGGCCAGTTAAAGGTCAC